TGGAGCGGTGGTTAGCACTGTTGTCTCGCAGCTATGAGGTGGCATCAGTTTCAAGATATAAAATCTAATTTATAATAAAGCATGATTTACAAAGAGGAACTGCACTGCGGCATGAGCTTTGACTTTTCATATTTTTTGAGGACATTTTGCAGCCAAGTGCACTTTCACTAAAGGAAGGTTGTGAATGCAGGACACTGACATGTCATGGAGTACATTTATTTTATTCACGGGTTGGAGTAGTTCTTAAAGTGTAATAGTGTCCCAGCTACTGACTGATTTCTACCAATATGTTGTGTGGAAACAAAAGAAGTTAAACTCGTTTGTGTTTGTTGTGCCTCCACAGGGGGACAGTGGCAGCCCGTTGGTGTGTCGTGCAGCCGGCCGCTTCGTTCAGGTGGGAATCATGAGTTATGGGAGTTCAGACGGCTGCGGTCTCCCAGGAAAACCTGGTGTCTACACTCGGGTGTCCAAGTATCTGCGCTTCATCAGCAACTACGTCGGGCAGAGCGAGGAGAGTTTCTCTTTTTCTGTTTCATGCATGCTGACAAACAGCTCTTTTCATCCGTCAGCCCTGACTGCACCCCCCACTCTCAAAACGACACCTTCCTCCGGCGGTGAAAGGCACCGACTTTCATTTATTGCACTGCAAATTGAAGCAGCTTTGATTGTTTTTATTAAACTGCTACACTGCACAGACTAACAACTGCAAAATTCCACTTACACGTTGATGCATCAGTGCTATTCAATAACATGTATTAGTCACCCAGCTTAATTATTGCCACTTTTATTTTTGGTACTTTTACATCAGGACCATTTCAAATGCAGGACTTTTATTCAGATTTTTTGTGTATTGTTATTCTGGTAAATTTGTGTCAGTAAACAATCTCCTGGTCCAACAGTAGAGTGATACTTCACATGCTGCTGCTGCTGATAATGACCCAGGCTGATGGAAGTTCTCACCATTCATCACATAGAACATCTTAAAACGCTGATAAAAGAGCAGAGATAAGATTTTTTTAAATGTGTAATCTACAAATCCTTTATCAACACATCATTGAAAATAAGTCAA